TGCTTTAGTCCTGGTTCAGTCCTGCTTTAGTCCTGGTTGAGTTCTGCTTTAGTCCTGGTTGAGTCCTGGTTCAGTCCTGCTTTAGTCCTGGTTCAGTCCTGCTTTAGTCCTGGTTGAGTTCTGCTTTAGTCCTGGTTGAGTTCTGCTTTAGTCCTGGTTGAGTTCTGCTTTAGTCCTGGTTGAGTCCTGGTTCAGGCCTGCTTTAGTCCTGGTTGAGTTCTGCTTTAGTCCTGGTCTCTGTATTGTTCAGAGGTGATAGTGTTTGGTCAGCAGATGCTCTGATGCAGCTCACAGAATCACTTATAGATCACAGTGCAGAGGGACGCCCCGGGACCAGACCAGGACCAGACCGGGATCAGACCGGGACTAGATCCAGACCAGGACAAGGATCAGGACCAGGACCAGGACCAGGGCCGAATCAGACTGAGACAGAGACTGAGACCAAGATTGGACCGAGATTGAGTTTGAGACAGAGACCAAGACTAGACGAGTCCAGACCAGAGACCTGACCAGGACCCAGACCGGGACTAGATCCAGACCAAGACCAGGACCAAACCAGGACCAGGGCCGAATCAGACTGAGAGAGAAACCGAGACCAAGATCGGACCGAGATCAAGTTCGAGACAGAGACCAAGTCTAGACGAGTCCAGACCAGAGACCTGAGATTAAGACCAGACCAGGACTTGGCAGGACCACAGACCAGTCCCAGACCAGACCAGAGTCCAGGTTCAGGTCTGGAGGAGTGGTTCACAGGTGTACCTAATAAAGTGGCCACCTCCAGGTTTTATCAGTTCAGCTCAGGTCTGCAGCCTCGTGCACGCCCCCACCTCGTGCACGCCCCCGCCTCGTGCGCGCCCGTGCCTCGTGCGCGCCCCCGCCTCGTGCGCGCCCCCGCCTCGTGCGCGCCCCCGCCTCGTGCACGCCCCCGCCTCGTGCACGCTCGCAGCACAATGGGCCGGAGTGACCTTGGTCTAGAGCCGCCTTTGGTTTGGACCCAATCGAACGCTCTGTCGATCAATATCCTATTACAGAGACCGGGACTGCGGCTCGGGCCTGAACCAGGACCAGACCGGGACCACACACGGACCGGGACCAGACAGGGACCAGACAGGGACCAGACAGGGACTAGACTAGGGTCAGACCAGGACTAAAGCACTGAGGACGGTTGGGGTTTTAAAGGTTCAATATTAAACAAAACTAACCCTGGTGAGATTTTAAAACAGGTTCTAATGTTCCGTCCTGAAAAAAATGGAGCTGGACCTGTTCCACCTTGTGATGTCATGAGGGGGACTCGGTCTAAATGTGCTGAGTTTGTGTGTGAATGAAATAATGAGTGTGATGAATCGAATTCTGATCACGATTTGTGTGTCAAACGTTCTCCAAACTCAAATAATTGAGCTGAAACGAGTCCTGGTTTAGTCCTGGTTCAGTCCTGGTTTAATCCTGGTTTAGTCCTGGTTTAGTCCTGGTTCAGTCCTGGTTTAGTCCTGGTTCAGTCCTGGTTTAGTCCTGGTTTAGTCCTGGTTTAGTCCTGGTTCAGTCCTGGTTTAGTCCTGGTTTAGTCCTGGTTCAGTCCTGGTTTAGTCCTGGTTTAGTCCTGGTTTAGTCCTGGTTTAGTCCTGGTGTAGTCCTGGTTTAGTCCTGGTTTAGTCCTGGTTCAGTCCTGGTTTAGACCTGGTTTAGTCCTGGTTTAGTCCTGGTTCTTGGTCTCTGGAGGTTTTGCTCTGACCCACTTGGCCGAGGTTCTTGAGCCTGAGGCCGGAGCTTGGATCAAACTGCAGCTTTTCCTCTGCCCCGTCGCCCCGGGCAACCGCACACACACACAACCACACACACACACAGATACACACACACACACACAGATCCACACACTCCTCACACACACACAAACACAATATCCCTCGTGCACGCTCCGGTCTCACACACGTGCACGCTCTTCATTCTTAATGTTCTAAATTCAGACGTTTCCTCCAACACATGAAACACACATGCACGCTCTTCACGTGCACTCTGTTCTCGTGCACTCTGTTCTCGTGCACTCTGTTCTCGTGCACTCTGTTGTTGTGCACGTGTGTGTGGATCCTGGGCCGGTGCCAGCGCCATCTGGGCCTGGATCAAACCTGCTCCCAGCAACAAACAACACAACAACAACAACAACAACAACAACAACAACAACAACACAACAACAACTACACAACAACAACAACACAACAACAAACAACAACAACAACAACAACAACACAACAACAACAAACAACAACAACAACAACAACAACAACAACAACAACAACAAACAACAACACAAACAACAACACAACAACAAGACAACAACAACACAACAACAACAACAACACAACAACACAACAACTACACAACAACAAACAACAACAACAACAACAACACAACAACAACAAACAACAACAAGACAACAACACAACATAGTCTTGGTTCAGTCCTGCTTTAGTCCTGGTTTAGTTCTGGTTTAGTCCTGGTTTAGTCCTGGTTTAGTCCAGAAAAAAAAAAAGAAGCAAATCCTAAAAAAAAAAAAAAAATCAGAAAAAAGAGATAAATTAAACCATTTATTTATTTATTTTTTTAGTTTAATTTAATTTAATTTAGTTTAATTTAAATCTTGTCAGAATTAAATTTATGATGTGAAAGTTTGACTCCACAGCACATGGAGTCAAACTTTCACATCATAAATTTAAATTTTAATTTTAAAGCAGCTCCAGACTGAGGCGAGTGTGAGCCTGTGGAGTTCTGCTGATATCAAATCATTGTTATTTTTTAATATACGCATAAAAATAAAATGGAAATGAAAATCTAGATCAGTCGATAAAATTTAAATTAAAAAAAAAATGCTTCATGTTTCACTGAACTTTTCCTGTTGATCTGTTCATTTAAAGGGAATATTTCATGTTAGAGCTTTTACTCTACGACTGTTTCATAAACTTCATGTTGTGTTTAAATCCTTCAGTCGTCCAGAAAAATCCACAGAAAAGGAGAAATTTAATTTGTCAACTGGACAAAGTGAAACTGCTCTGAAACACAAACACTTGTTTTCAGTTTGTGTTTTTACAGAAATTTGCAGAATTTTTCCAAGTGACAAACTGAATTTCTGCTTTTGCCTCGTCTTCATCTGAAAACACGTTTAGATCAGCACGTTCACGTTTACTGAAAATCATCTGGAAGATTTTCACCAAAAACAAAAACAAAACTATTAACCACAGACGAGGTGAATATGGGTGAGTTTAGGCTCCACTGACTCTGGCTCCAGTTCACACCACACTGAAAACCCGTCGTTTCTGTTTGTGTTTGTGTTTGTGTTTCTGAGCCTCGACGTGTTCGTCTGAAAATGTTCAAATTAACCCACGATTTTATTTTCTCCATAAATAAATAATAAACGTGGTTGGTGTTTTGAGCAGAGACGATCTGTGACCTGAAAACTCACAACACAAACTGGCACCTGTCCAACGCCCGGAGAAACGCACAAAACATGAACACACACATACACACATGTACACACACACACACACACACACACACACACACACACACACATGTACACACACACACACACACACACACACATACACACACACACACACACACACACACACACATACACACATGTACACACACACACACACACACATACACACATATACACACACACACACACATACACACATATACACACATATACACACACACACACATGTACGACACACACACACATACACACATGTACAACACACACTAACACACATGTACGACACACACACACACACACACACAGTACACACACACACACACACACACGTACACACATACACACACACACACACACATACACACACATACACACATGTACACACACACACACACACACACACATACACACACACATACACACACACACACACACACACACATGTACACACACACACACATACACACATGTACACACACACACACACACACACGTGCACACACACACACGTGCACGCACACACGTACACACACACACGTGCGCGCTCCTCCGTGTTCTGTTACACAATCTGTTTTTCATCTTTTGTGGTTTTCAGATCAAATCTGTTTTAATATTTTGTAAATTATTTTGTAAATTTTATGAAACTAAATTCTGTCCAAGTCACAATTTTACCTGTGAACAAAGATCAGGAGGAAGAGGAAGAGGAGGAGGTGAAAGAGGAGAAAGAGGAGAAAGAGGAGAAAAAAGACAAGAAAATATTAGAAAAAGAAAAGAGAGATGGAGAAGAGAAGAAGAAGAGAAGAAGAAGAGGAGGAGGAGGAGGAGGAGGAGGAGGAGCGACTGCAGCAACAGCTGAGCTCAGCACAAACCACTGAAACACTGTCAATATCACAGACAGGAGCACAGACAGGAGCACAGACAGGAGCACAGACAAGAGCACAGACAGGAGCACAGACAGAGACAGGAGCACAGACAGGAGCACAGACAGGAGCACAGACAGAGCACAGACACAGACAGGAGCACAGACAGGAGCACAGACAGGAGCACAGACAGAGACAGGAGCACAGACAGGAGCACAGACAGGAGCACAGACAGAGACAGGAGCACAGAGACAGGAGCACAGACAGGAGCACAGACAGAGACAGGAGCACAGACAGAGACAGGAGCACAGACAGGAGCACAGACAGGAGCACAGACACAGACAGGAGCACAGACAGGAGCACAGACAGGAAATTAAAATTAGATAAGATGTTGCTCAGTCCTGGTTCAGTCCTGGTCCTGGTCCTGGTCCTGGTCTAACTCTGGTTCTATCCTGGTCTTAGTCCTGGTCTCAGTCTCGGTCTCGGTCCTGGTCTTAGTCCTGGTCTCGGTCCTGGTCTTAGTCCTGGTCTCGGTCTCGGTCCTGGTCTTAGTCCTGGTCTCGGTCTCGGTCCTGGTCTCAGTCTCGGTCTCGGTCTCGGTCTCGGTCCTGGTCCTGGTCCTGGTCTAACTCTGGTTCTGTCCTCAG